GGGAGCGCCGGGAAAGGGGGGTGTCGGTGCTCCCTCGTGCAAGGGGGGTGTTCTCTGCAGAGTCCTTGAGCTGGACGGTCGGGTGTGAAGGACGAGGTACAGCAGCGCTCCCGGGAGGGGATCTGAGCCACAGTGAAGCCGCTGCTCCCGTTCGGGATGCTCGGCCGGCCCCGAGGGCACGGGATTCGGAACACCCGCGGGTGTTACCTGGTCCGATGAGGGCAGGGAAGGGTTTAGGGCTGAGTGACTGGACGTGCAGCTGGACTGCAAAAAAGTACTAAGCTATTTCAATCTTTTTAGCATATTTCTAGTTCTATTTTTCATTTTAAGATCTGTTTTAGTGACAAGATAAGGGGGAATGGCTTTAAACTGACAGAGGGGAGTTTTCGATTCGTTATTAACAAGCTCTTCCCTGTGAGGGTGCTGGGGCGCTGGCACAGGGTGCCCAGAGAAGCTGTGGCTGCCCCATCCCTGGCAGTGCTCAAGGCCAGGTTGGACACAGGGGCTTGGAGCAACCCGCTCTAGTGGAAGGTGTCCCTGCCCGGGGCAGGGGTTGGAGCTGGAGGAGCTGCTTTATTTTTGTCAATTTCTTTAAAAATAGGGTTAAAACTGCAGTTTCTTACGAAAAGGAAGTTTAAGTGTATACCATTATGAGGATTTTTGACATGTGTCTGTGATAATTGCACTGAAACAATTGAATATTGAGTTGGGTTTAACTCTTGCCAAGCTTATTCTCCATATTTTTCCACCTTTAATACAGCGTTCTTATTGCTAACGTAGTTAAAAGTTGGAGAAGATACAAGGAAGAGTGCAAAACACGCTGCACGCTGCTGTTCTTTTGAGCTGCAAGACTGATTGTGTGTCATCCAAGAACCAACCACTGCCACGTTTTCATCTGTTGGTAAACATCAGCTGCGGGTTGGTCTTAAGGGAGGATGACTGAATTAGTTCCAGATGGAGAACTCGTTCAGCTCATTTAAGATCTTCCAGTTGATTTCAGACAGCAGGTCAGTAATGTAAGTGTGTAATTTAGTTCTTTCTTGCTGTTGTGCTTCCTGCCATGTGTGGTATCAGTGCTATCAAATATGATATCACAGTGCTGCTGAGGGTGGGAGCTTCATTGTGCTTAAGTGCTTTTGGTTTTAATTGAGTAGTAGAAACAGAAAAAGTATTACAAAATTGTGATAACTGTTTTCAATGTGGAGGGGTTTTAGCACAAGTATTTGGTTTTAACATGAGTGTGTCAGAGGATCTTGTACCTCAGCATGCTACTGGCATGATTTCCTGGTAAAATGGCAAGAGATAAAGGGATAGGGATGGAATCCCTCTGTGTATAGCTGTAATACCAGAAACAGAACCTGAGGAATGGGAAATTTCAGTGTGAAGTAGCTGCTGTTTAGGAAATCAAAACTGACACAGTATGTTTAACTCTTTAGTACATATTTAGTACATATTTGAGATGCTACATTGGACATTAAAAAGATGTGAGGAAACTAGTTTTATGCTGTTTACATGCGAACAAAATCAGCAGCTCTTGTTACAGCTCTTGTATTTTTGCTTGCCATTGATTATTTCTTGTGCTGCCACTGTATGGTCCACTGTAGTATTATGATCTCATTCAGGCAGCTTTTCCAAGATGTCCAGTGATTAAGTTCCCCCTCAGTAATTACTTTTTAACTGTATGACATCCTCCATCTTGTCTGTCCAGCCAATGTCCTTCTGGATAAAAGTATAATTCAAGTGTAATATCTCCTAGTGTGTGTGTGTTGAGGAGCACAAGAGGTCCTGTCCATCCATTCTCATCTGACTCATCCTATTTTCTTTTGTTTCTAAAACACAGACTGCAAAACAGAAAGCAGTAAATCCAGTGGTGTGTTTTAGCATTGCAGATAAGTTGCTCAGGTGCAATTTCTTTCTTTCTTAACATGGACTTTGAATCTGTTAGCACTGTGATGCTAACTAATGTTACATGACTTGATGAAGGTCACTGTGTTTTTGTTAGTGTCTGTACTCTTCTACTGTAACTCCTCATATTTCATGTAATTTGCAAAAGGAGAAACCTTTGGTTGCAAATGATTAGATGCCTTTTCCTATCAGATCTTTTAAAAAGGCTTCAAGAATTATTGCAAATACTAATATTGCACTGCAAGCTCACGTTTACCAAGAGAACTGTGTTTATGATTACTAGAAGTTATAGTCCTTGATTATTGACTCCAGTTGATAACAGGTCAGTTACTACTAAGGGAACAGGCTCCTGCTCAGATTTTCTGCGTTGTGAAGGTTTTTCTCGAGTGGTTATAAGAAGACCTTAGAATGAGATCAAACAAACTGTAGAATCTTAAAGAGTAGTTAATTGAAAAGGGTGTGTTGAAATGCTTTATAGGAGAAAGAACTTCAAAACCTGTGAAGTCTTTTGTGTTTGTGCGTGCTATTTTAGATCTCCCATATCTAAGTTAGTGTTTAGTCTTGGTATCATATTAGGAGTGCAAACTTGACAGACAAGCTACTAAAGCCCTTTTTATCTTATATAAACTGCAGGTGAAATGTGGTATCTTTGCTGCATCAGGGATTTCAAATGTCTCTATATTCAGAGCTACATGTTTTTTTCCTTCTTTCTCTATTTTTTTCATCCTAGGCAGAAAAAATGGAATAGACCACACAAAGCAGCATGTGAAGTTCATCTTTATGCAAGATGTAATTTGGAGGACCAAGTACGCTTCTTCAGGCCATGGGAGACGAAACACTAAGCACATGATATTTTTGTTTCATGCAAGTGCTGTTCTGTGCTAAGTCAATGTTGGTTTGTGTTAAGGACAAATACTGATTTCTTCGGGTCAGCATGTCGACTGTGACAAGTGCTCAGACACCAGAGGAGCCTAATTCTCCCCCCCTCGAAGAAAAGCCAAAGGGAAAATCACTATTTCATTTGGGTTCACTCTTTGCTAACAGAAGTGAAAAGTTTGTAATTGCTAGGAGTGACAGCGTGCCAGAGGAGAACGTGCTGAAAATAACCATCACAGAGACCACAGTCATTGAGTCGGACTTGGGCATCTGGAATTCTCATGCTCTCATCTACCTCACTTTGTGGTTTTTCTTCAGCTTTTGCACTCTTTTTCTTAACAAATACATTCTTTCGTTACTGGAAGGAGAGCCCAGCATGCTAGGTAACCCTGCCTCTCTGGACACTTGAATTCCAGTCAGATATTTGGCAATACCACTATCTCCAGTGTAAAGCTGAGGAACAAAATGGTTCAACTGAAGTGAAAAAGACCTAGTTAGGAGGTGTGGGGGTGGATCTTAGGGCTGGGAACTCAAGAGTTGTGATCTTAGCTTGTGAAAGGGAATCTGACACTGTCCTTTCCTCCACTTCCTGAAAGATGGTGTCTGAGAGCTAAGACCCATAAAGACAAATGCACTTTTTTCTCTGTGTTGGAGGATAGTGTGGATTTCTACAGAAATAAAATCTTGTGATTTACGTGTTTCTCACTCTCATCTTTGTTTAGGTGCTGTTCAGATGCTTTCAACCACCTTCATCGGTTGTATCAAAATGTTTGTTCCATGCTGCTTGTATCAACACAAAACACGCATCTCTTATCCTCCCAATTTCATCATGATAATGCTGTTTGTTGGATTAATGAGGTAAGTGGTTAAATAATTCCTGGAGATCTATCTGGCTGCTTCATCACATTCTTCTGAATGGAAGCTGCGTTTTCATGGCTCTCTTCCTTTTCATTCGTGATTGGAAAGTGTTTGGACTATTCACCTTTCCCCCCTCCAAAAAAATCACAGGATAATTTTATTTTTAATTCCTGTTGCTAAATGCTACATTCCTTTTTCCAGATGTCAAATTTTTGTCTGTCTTGCCTTCCCATCACATTTAGCTTCTTTCAGAACACACTTCTCTTCCCATTTACTTTCCTCCTGTTTTCTTTTGAGGCTGATGTTTTAACGTACTACTATTTAGTATACTAGTATTATGTTGCTTTGTTCCCTCACCTCCCAGCAATTTGCCTCAAAAGGGATAGAGCCTGTTAATATTTATCTCTTACAAAGTAAATATTTGCTGTGTGCTGGGATAGGATCAGTTTGTCGTCTAGGAGAGAATATTATGGTTTGGTTTCTTCTAGACCGCGAAAGTGATAAAGGATAACATGATTCAAATTAATTCAGAGTAGCTTTATCATAACAGTGCCACCCTGTTTAATTTCATGGTTTAAACTCTGGTAGATGTAGTGTACCTAATTTACACTAAAGATGGATAACTGCAAATGGTAAATTTTTCTTGATTAATTAGTATTCATCACCAGAATTATACTAACTTTTTCAACTGAAAACTTTAGGTTAAAACACTGTTAGTCTGAATCTTGAGTACATTAAAAAGTGGACTTGGATGTTATCAGGAAGTCCAATGTACATCCATAGAAACTGCACTGTTGCCTGAGGATGCCTTCACTTGTGCTAAATAAATAATAATGTTTAAGCCAGACTGGAAAGAAATAATCTGACCCATTCCACCTCGCAGGGGCTGAGGAGTAAAGATGTGCAGCTGAGCAGTTACTGCAGCTCAGTCAAGCTACTATCATTTGACAACCTGATTGCCAGGAAGACCTCTCCATATTCTGCAGCTCAAATTTATAAACCTAAATAAATGATAATGCAATTCTTTTATAAGCTCACTGTCTAAGAGTAGCTCTTAAAGCATTATTTTATTTACTGCTTCTATTCATGTATTTTTGTACTCCAGATTTGCAACAGTTGTCTTGGGTCTTGTCAGCTTGAAGAATGTGGCAGTTTCATTTGCAGAAACTGTTAAAAGCTCTGCACCTATTTTTACTGTTATCATGTCTCGGATGATCCTGGGGGAATACACTGGTGAGTGCTTCACACTGCAATGTGATTTCCACTTGCAATCTCATGCTCTTTGCTTGAAGAGGTTTTGCTTGTTACAAGATGTAAGTCATCAGGGTAATACAGAAGCCATGTATAGATTACTTTGTGATACAAATGGCAAAAGGCTGGAATGAGCGAGAGGAAGAAGAGTTAATTCAGTCACGGAATAAATGGGGAGAGTATAACTTTTTCCTGGTATTTGGTGAAAAAGATCCATTTTCTTTCTCAAAGGGAGATATATCAGTAGAGCACATGTCCATATTGTTTTCAGGAGCACTCTGCTCTTGTCCAAGATCTCTGTATTTTAGAACTTCTGTACTTTAAAATAGAGTCACATGAGTTGCTCTTTCTTTCAACTAAAGAAATAAAGGTGGAATTTAAACTTTCAAAAACTATAGTATCTGATACCTGTAACTGGAAGTACACAAATCTAAACTCAGATTTCAATTTTTCTTTTCATTTTCAGGATTGCTGGTTAATCTCTCCCTAATTCCTGTTATGGGTGGACTAGCTCTGTGTACAGCTACTGAAATCAGTTTCAACATTCTAGGTTTCTCGGCAGCTTTATCTACTAATATCATGGACTGGTAAGGCATAGTGATGGTTTCATATTGTATAATAAAAGATGGTGGGTTTTGTTGGTAGACAAAAGGCTATTGTTGCTTGTAGTTGGGTTTGTACACTGCGTTCAAGTGTTGGTATTTAAAATGTATTTTTAACAAAGATACAGTTCCTCTATCATATCTGCTAGCATTAATGAGATTAAAAAATAGTACAACTCCCTTAGTTTAAAAGAATTAGACTGAACTCCTTTCTGTAGTTGTATAAAGTGTAGAAAACTTATCTACCCATCTATGGGAAACAGCTCTCTGATTATTTGTCCTAACTAAAATACAGGTAAATGGTGTTTGTTTGGTTTTTCTTCCAGTTTGCAAAATGTCTTTTCCAAAAAACTACTCAGTGGAGATAAATACAGATTTTCGTAAGTATTGAAAATATTTCAGAGTTGCTTATAGATGGAATCTGGGCTGCATAGGAAACCATAACTTTATGATTATATTGCACCAAGGTATTATTTCTCTTTTACAGACAGCTTTAACCTAATCCTTTTATCAGGGAAGGAAAACTCCCCTATCCTCAGATCCCACTGCAGCAGGTCAGAGTTTCATAGCTGACTAAAACTCTCAGCATACCCACACTGAGTTATCTTTGCACAGAAATAATTTGGTACTCTGTTATCATAAAACATCCCGTAATGTTATTAGACATGCAGAAATGAACTTAGAACTCACTTCATATTTTAACTATGAACATGAGCTAGGAATCAAATCTTGTGGTAAAATACACCTATAGCTGTGTGCATGTATTTTACCACAGGATAAAGTGCTAGTTTTGGTCTTGAAGGCATGTGCCTTTTATCCTCAGTCCATCTCCGCCAACACAAAGCAAAACACTATCTTTGCAAGAGACTGCTAAATTTATTGTTCCCAACACTTGGTAAATAGCATTTATTACTTTCGATACCTGTAAATACAATAATGATGCAGCTTTCTAAGAAGAGGAAGCTTTTAATCACTTTAATCATTGTTTCTTCCCCTATGTAGAGCCCCGGAGCTTCAGTTCTACACAAGTGCTGCTGCAGTGGTTATGCTTATTCCAGCCTGGATATTTTTCATGGTAATTTGAATTCACTAACATGGGTTTATGTTTTCTTTTTGACTTGTGAGCAGAACATGCAACTAGGGTTAGGTTTTGTTTTGCTGATGTTTAACTGTAAAACTATCTGCTTATAATAGTAATGAGTTGAATGGGAAATTACTTTTAGATTTGCTTATAAACTAAACTCTTGAATTCCTCTTTTCTTCTTGTTTAGGATGTGCCTGTGATTGGGAAAAGTGGGAGGAGTTTCAGCTACAACCAAGATATTGTCATACTTCTCTTAATAGATGGAGTCTTGTTCCACCTACAAAGTGTTACAGCCTATGCCCTGATGGGAAAAATTTCTCCTGTGACTTTCAGGTAAAACCGTTTCTTTGCATCCTGGTTTATTTCCTTCTCTTCTTGTTTAGTATTTCTGCTTGAGACCTTGGCAGTAAAGGTATTGTGCAAACAAAGAAATAATGTAAATGCATAAATGCATCAAGTGAAGAAAAGTTCTCACATCTGGATGACCAACACTCTATGATTTGCTCTCTTGCTGTGAGGAGAGCAGCATTTGAGCCATGCTGTTCTGCTTATGGAACAGGTGTTTAACAGCCATTCCTTAAAGCTGGTTAATGAGGAACCCTAGGTCCAGTGTTGAAGCTGCCATTTGCTTCAGTGATAAGACAATACCCATATTCATCTCAGTGCAGTACAGAATATGAGCAATCACCTCTGTCTTCCTTTTTTCTGAAGCGTGACACGATGTCTCAAGCTGTGTTTACTGAATTATGTGTTATTTAAAGGCAGCTTCCACCTACATTGTCAGTTATCAGCAGCTTTGTTAGGCTGTTGCACAATTCTGATTCAATAATTGCTCTTTTTTATGACCAGCCCTAGGGGCTATGGAGAAATCCTCGTCTTAAACTCTGAAGGTTTTAAACTTGTATGTGGGATATGAGAGCTTTCTTCGGCCTTAATCTTTCTATTCCTTTTCTAGTGTTGCCAGTACTGTGAAGCATGCACTGTCGATCTGGCTAAGTATTATTGTGTTTGGTAACAAAATCACAAGCCTCTCAGCCATTGGGACTGTTCTAGTGACAATTGGAGTTCTACTATATAACAAGGCAAAGCAGCATCAGCAAGAGACTATACACAACCTGGCAGCTGCAGCCCCACAATCTGCACAAAGTACAGCTGAAGATACCGAGCCACTCATGTCCAAGGATTTGGAACCATATGATTAATGTGGCCATTTATTCTTCCAGCCCAGCATAACTCAAAGGAAGGAACTCTTCCTGAAAGTGGTTGTTTCTTCAACTGTTGATGCTGATTCACTTCCTTTGAGTTCATGGCAGGTCAAGTCTGGGACTTGAAACAGAGAGAAAACAATGGGAAGAATCCAGTAAACCTCGATTTACTGAGAAACTGGTCTACCAAACAGGGGACCTAATGTCATATAATGTGGTAAATGTGGGCTTTATTGTCTGTCTGTGACTGCAAATAACATACAAGCCTGTATTAGTGAAAGACCTTCAGTGTCTTGTGGGAAAACCATTCCTTTCTCCCTACCCATCAAAATACTGTGAAAACATAGACCCATCACTGCATTTTACTTACTTGCAGTGGAATGAGATTGGTACATAACTGATATGCCTAATTGGGTGTCACTCTGCATTGCATCCTCCATCATTTGTATGCATCGTAGAGCTGGAAGAAGGAACCCACTCTTCTCCCAAAAGTGACTTATTCTGGTACATGTTTAGTTGAAGGGAACTCTGGCAATGAGTCCATGCCCCAAAGCAGTGATCAGCAGCTATTTCTGACCACAAAGCTAGGAATGAAAAGTGATTTTTCTACTGAACTTCAACATGGAAATACTGCATCCTGGTTGCATTAACCATATTGAAATGCAAGTGTACCCACGTATACCTACACTGTATAAATGCAGTGTTGAATTAAATATATGCAGTAGCTTAGAAGTAAAAAACACTGAAAAATTCTGATGACAAAGGAAGCAGGATCTCTCTATTTGTATAAGAAACCATTTTAATATTTTAATTTCTTGCATTTTATGGTGTATTTCTGTTAGGAGGAAATGTTTTGGTATTTCTAAGAGTGCAACAAAATACTGCCTTTTAGAAACTCAGGGTTATAATTCTAACCTATGTGCAAAGTGTTTCTGTCTACATAAAGGGTCTCAGAGGTATCTGTGACACAAATGGAAGAGAGGTCCATGAAGGGAGGAACATTAACCATAAACTGAGGCTAATCTTAATTGCTACTGCTCTTAAGTTTTCTTATTGAAGGAAATTCTGCTTTGTGGTACAGGGAAGGTTAAAAGTTAACTTTTCTTTAAAAAAAAACCCTTAAGTATTAGTAATTAGTTTTGGCAAAAGAAGCACAAAGCCATTCAAATGGACTTTCGGTAACTGACAACTAAACTGACCGGGGTTTTAGTAATTGCCACTCTTCTGAATGCAACATGGTGTTAGAAACATAAAGTGGTCTTTATGGTAAAAATAATTTCTAATAGGAAGTTACCACTGGAGTTCCTGCAAAGCTGAAGCTCAAGCTTAACATTTCCACGTGTGACACGTTGTCAGCTGTAGCAAACTGTTCCTGCAGGAGCAGAAATGTGTTCCTAGAGTCTCTCTGAAGAAGCCCATCTTCTGTCTCACTAGTGTGTGCTTGTTTTGTCTTAGCCTACTTCAGGTCACATTCCTATAGGTGACTGATTGCCTGGGGCTTATCCCTGGAGATGTGAGCGGGAGTGAGATGTCAGATGAGTTTCCTCATTGTGTATGTGATGTCTGTGGATAGTTTGTTCCTTTCTATTCCTATCACTTTTGTAAAAGCTGTGGACTGTGGGGTGCAGCTCTGTGGGGTTTGGGGGTCTTGTGCATTGTCTCGTAGTAATGCTTTCAAAAATCTCAGTGTATTTGGCAGAAAACAAAGTGGTTTCCATCAGATTCCTCCTCTTGCTGAAAGAGAAATAGAAGTGGCTTCCGGGTTGCCTCGCTCCGTTCTCATGTAAACCCCTTCACCAACTGATGGAGCCTCATTTTAAAAGCTCACAGGCTTTTGCCTTTCCTATTACTGGAAAACTTTGGAAAACCCTAACAGCTGGGAGGATTTTAACTTGTTATTTCTAACATGTGTCTAAGCTATTAGTGGCTGGTTGAGCCCCACCTGTTCTGTGGCAGCACAATAATCCTGTTTTACATGGGGTTTGTTTGCACAGGCTTGATCTTATGTACTTTTCTATGAAGCATTGTTGGTCCTTATTTTTATTAGATTAAACAACCAACCTCTTTATTGTCTGTCTGCTTGTCACACCTTTTCTTGCTCCAGTCATGAGAGTAATTCTTTGCTGTTGTTTCTGTTGGGTAAACGAGGACTGTTTTGTTCTTTACAATATTACAGCCCAGGTACCTGCCTTCCCATTGCTTTGTACAATGGCAGCAGTGCTGCCCGATTTCTTCTGGAAAACAGGCTCTTGGAATGCTGTTGGGATTCTTTCAGGGGCATTTCTTGCAGCCTCACCCTGACGCTGGAGCACTGAGCCAGGTGAGCTCTGGGAGCTGCAGCTATGTGGGATATTTGGGTTACATTTGTCGAGTGCATTCTCATCGGAGCAGCACCTCTTCCTCCAACTGTGGATTCCTGAAGAATTCCTCGCTGAGCAGCAGCCTTGCAAATGCACAGCGACTTGCAGCAGTCACTGCTTCTAAAATGACATTATTTCCCAGCTGAAACGACGGCTGGATAATAAAGCAGCTGTGTGTGATGATCTCTTCTATGGCATATTGTGTTGTAATCTCTAGTTAACATCAAGTCACCTCAGCCCGTTAACGATACGTGTGTTCATGAAGTTAATCAGTTCCATCTTCTACTTTTCCTTTATAGGAACTGCCCTTCTCGCACTGAACGTACATCCTCCTTCGTGGCCCCTCAGTTGCGTTGTCGTTCTCTAACGTCTTTAAACGACCGTTGGAAACGCGCGTTATTCAAATGAGTAATAAGTGTCCACTTGGGTCTTTACGTGTCATTCATTACACGGGTGGATCC